CTTGAGTTCCCCAAAAAGATTTATGAGGATCATGCCCCACAATGAGGCAAGAGAAACTAGCAAAGGGAATTAGGTAAGAGGGCTGGAGCATCTGCCCATGTGGCTAGATAGAAAAATCCAATCAGGGCAGAAAATCCCCCACCCAAGGTAGTGTAGGCAAAAGATTAATGGGAGATGTCTAGCTGATTATACTACTTTTGACGTAGCCAATGAGAGGAATCAGTGAGTCCAGCCACATTTGCCAGTGAGAAACCAGTGGGCAGCCACATTTGATAAAACCAATGAAATGAGAACAACCAGTGGGCCAAGCCAATGATCAACCCACATGACTTAGATTACAACATTATAAATCTCGCAGAATGCAACTGTTGGGGCCTTTTGAACCACTCTTACTCTGTCAGCTCAGGCCCACTCTTACCTCTCAGGAGTGTACTTCACTTTTACTTAATAAACTACCTTTTCCTTTCAAAACAAAATAAGACAAAATAAAAAAGAAATGGTGTCACCAGAGAAAGGGCAATGGGGATTATGGGAGCTCAAATAAATAGTGAAGCTTTTAATGGATCAATAAAACTGAAGTATGACCCAGCTATAATAGTGCACAGCTAGCGCCATCATTTGGGAGGCTGGAAGCTGTGTGGGAGCCCCAGGTTCTGTTCCCAGGCCAATCTGTACATGCGAGGCACAATTGTGCATACTCATAGTCCTAGCTAACTGGGGATGGGGCAGGAGGATCATGAAACAACAAGACCTTGTCAGAAATACCCATGTCTGTCCCTTGCTCTCTCCTCCTTGGCATTTCATAAAAAGGGTTGGGGGGGGGGAGGCTGAATTATTTCTGGTTTTGTTTGGTGTGTTTTACTACATCTTATCAAAATAACTACATTTCATAATTGCTTTTGCTAACATTTTCTGTCTCCTATCCATGCTATTCTCTATACTTTCCATTTTACACTAAGAATGGAAAAGCCTCTTACTGAGAACTGCTCTACCCTACAAACCTCCATAACCCAAGAAAAACACAATCAAGGATCAATAGGCACACAGAAAATCTTCATTAAATATTATTAAGGACAAAGGGGTCAATGGAGAAATAAATGCTTGAGACACAGGGAGAAATTTAGAAAAACTGGCCCGGGAGCTAGTAGATTACCCACGTTGTGTCTGAATTGAGGTATGATTCCAAAGACCATATACTCTTTTCATTCTACAGCCTGTCTCAAATATAAATACAAATTTACATTTTTATATACTGTTCATAAACGAAGGGAAAGGTGCCAGTGTAGAAGAAAACATTCAACGTACAAGTGAGATGAAGCAATCTCTAAAATGAGGGAAACACATTAAGTATGCAAAAGTAGGTATAGGGAAATAGAGAGGCAGAAAAAGTGTCATTCAAGGGGACCAACAGGTGGCGTGGTGGATAAGGCACTGGACACTCCCACATGGCTAACCACTGGCGGGCCTAGTCCCAGACCTTGTGGCTTTAGTTCTCTCTCTCTCTCTCTCCCTCTCCTGCGCCCTCTGTGTGTGTGTGTGTGTCTCTCTCTTGTCAAATTAAAAAATAAATGAATGAATAAATAAAATTAAATAAATAAATCTTAAAAAAAGAAAAAGTATCATATCATTCAAATACAGAAAGATACAGACAACTTAAAAACCATTGTCCCATATGTGGTCTTTAATTAAATTATCATTTTCTTTTACTTTCTATATCTAAAGGATAACTGGTACCCATATCCCTCTCTTTTTGCTCTTTGCTCTGTTATAGAGGAGAAATTAAATCCAGGGCTAGATCTCACCCACGGGCTGGAGATTTTTATTACTGTCCCTTTACTTCTAGCCCCCAATTCGCCCAAAGACTCCCATCTCATTCACTTCTTTCACACATACCCTACCCCTGCTCCTATTCTTGACTAAAATCATTGTGTCTATTAAGCCTCATGCACATCAATTTATATCCCCTCTTAAAACTACTGAACCACTGGGGCCAGCAGGTAACATGATGGTTAAGGCACTGGACTCCCACACAGCCAGCCGTGGTTTGAGTACCAGACCTGGTGGCTTGCTTTTTCACTCTCTCTCTCTCTGGCAAGCACATGTGCCCTATGGCAAACTAAAAATAGTAATAAATAAATTTAAATTAAAAACACTTATTTTTCTTTGAATCTTCCTGAACCTAATCCCAAGAAGTCAAGCCAGAGGATTTAATCAATCTTCCACCCAGCAGCCATTAGTCATGAATATTCTCATGTGGACTTTGATCATCTTATTCTCATAAATGTACATTTATATTTGACTTTTCTTTTAAAATGTCACTGACTGGGAACCAGCAGTTAGCGTAATGGCTATGTTGCTGGACTCCCACATAGTCGACCGTGGTTCGTGTCCCGGACCCGGTGGCTTAAAACTCACGCTGGGCACGTGTGCGTGCGTGCCCAAGATCCCGAGAGGAGAATGGAGGAGAAGGGATTGCGGCGTGACCATCCCCCCTGGGGCGTGATTTCTCGCTTTCTGTCTCTATGTCTCTCTCTGTCTGGCTGGCGAGCGCACGCGCCCTACAGTGAAAATCTCTCAAAAAAAAAAATGTCACTGACTATCTCATTGACAGACCACCTTAATCACAGCTATCTTGGAGATAGACAGATAGATAGAGAGAACACAAATGTTAACCAAAACTAAACACATTTTTTTAAATGTGGAGGACCTTGAGCTTAGCAATGAAGCTGTTTCACATTTGATTTATTGTGTTACTCTGAGAACAATTTGCCACAGACATCGAAGTAATGTTATATGCTTTTCTCCAAAGAAATACACAGTGGGATATGTAAAATGTCAGAAATAATTAAACAAAATTGTACAATCCATTGTGACACTAATATTCCTTTAGAGTTGAAAATTTGCTGTGTAGCTTTAAATTTTGGTTTGAAAACTGCTTATTATAAACAACATAATTTTTTCTTGAATGTAATGGTCTCAAATTTTCTGATTTATCATACAATGTGAATGATGTCTTCAGCTGTATAAATATATATATATATATATAATATTAATAAGAGACTGATTGAGGTAGGAAAGCAGACTTAAATGTGGTAATGTATTCATTGTGAAGATTTGGAAACTCACTTCAGAGGAGAAAAAATGGTAGCTTTTGAGGAATAAGTAAAGATAAATTTAAATCACAGAGAGGAAATATAAAATTATATCTGAAATATGCAATGATTTGATGAATACCAAAATATTATCATGTTTTCTAGGGAAAAAATGTCTTTCTCATTCATTAACCAGTAGCATAATGTTTTCCAGGAATAGTCCATTAAGAAGAAATGCTGTGTCCCTTCCCATTACTCAGAGAAAATAGAACACACGAGACTACGTAGCTGAAGAAATTACAGCCTCCTGGCCAATGAGAGATATTCAAGTCTATGCAGTTTCCACCTGAAGGAAAATAACCAACAGCTTCTCCACAGTGTCGACTGGGACCAGGGAAACATGAACAGCACAAACTGCACCACAGAAGCCAGCATGGCTGTGAGACCCAAGACTGTCACCGAGAAGATGCTCATTTGCATGGCTCTGGTGGTCATCACCACCCTGACCATGTTGCTGAATTCAGCTGTGATCATGGCCATTGGCACCACCAAGAAGCTCCACCAGCCTGCTAACTACCTGATCTGCTCACTGGCCGTAACTGACCTCCTGGTGGCAGTGCTGGTCATGCCACTGAGCATCATGTACATTGTCATGGACAGCTGGAAGCTTGGGTACTTCATCTGTGAAGTGTGGCTAAGTGTGGATATGACTTGTTGCACCTGCTCCATCTTGCACCTCTGTGTGATTGCCCTGGACAGGTATTGGGCCATCACCAATGCTATTGAATATGCCAGGAAGAGGACAGCCAAGAGGGCTGGCCTGATGATCCTCACGGTCTGGACCATCTCCATCTTCATCTCCATGCCCCCTCTGTTCTGGAGAAGCCACCGCCGGCTCAGCCCACCCCCCAGTCAGTGCACCATTCAGCATGATCATGTCATCTACACCATCTACTCCACACTTGGAGCATTTTATATACCTTTGACTTTGATACTGATTCTCTATTACCGGATTTACCATGCGGCCAAGAGCCTTTACCAGAAAAGAGGGTCAAGCCGACACTTAAGCAACAGAAGCACAGACAGCCAAAATTCTTTTGCAAGTTGTAAACTTACACAGACTTTCTGCGTGTCTGACTTCTCCACCTCAGACCCTACCACGGAGTTCGAAAAGATCCACAGCTCTATCAGGATCCCTCCCTTCGACAATGATCTGGACCACCCAGGAGAACGGCAGCAGATTTCGAGTACCAGAGAGCGCAAGGCAGCACGCATCCTGGGATTGATTTTGGGTGCATTCATTTTGTCTTGGCTGCCATTTTTCATCAAAGAGTTGATTGTGGGTCTGAGCATCTATACTGTGTCCTCTGAAGTGGCTGATTTCTTGACATGGCTTGGTTATATTAATTCTCTAATCAATCCTCTACTTTACACAAGTTTTAACGAAGACTTTAAGCTGGCTTTTAAAAAGCTCATTAGATGCCGAGAGCATACTTAGATTGTAAAAAGCCAAAATACGTGACTTTTGCCAGAGCCTCATGAGTGGATGAATATATATATATATATATAATATTAATAAGAGACTGATTGAGGTAGGAAAGCAGACTTAAATGTGGTAATGTATTCATTGTGAAGATTTGGAAACTCACTGACTGAGGAAGGAAAGCAGACTTAAATGTGGTAATGTATTCATTGTGAAGATTTGGAAACTCACTTCAGAGGAGAAAAAATGGTAGCTTTTGAGGAATAAGTAAAGATAAATTTAAATCACAGAGAGGAAATATAAAATTATATCTGAAATATGCAATGATTTGATGAATACCAAAATATTATCATGTTTTCTAGGGAAAAAATGTCTTTCTCATTCATTAACCAGTAGCATAATGTTTTCCAGGAATAGTCCATTAAGAAGAAATGCTGTGTCCCTTCCCATTACTCAGAGAAAATAGAACACACGAGACTACGTAGCTGAAGAAATTACAGCCTCCTGGCCAATGAGAGATATTCAAGTCTATGCAGTTTCCACCTGAAGGAAAATAACCAACAGCTTCTCCACAGTGTCGACTGGGACCAGGGAAACATGAACAGCACAAACTGCACCACAGAAGCCAGCATGGCTGTGAGACCCAAGACTGTCACCGAGAAGATGCTCATTTGCATGGCTCTGGTGGTCATCACCACCCTGACCATGTTGCTGAATTCAGCTGTGATCATGGCCATTGGCACCACCAAGAAGCTCCACCAGCCTGCTAACTACCTGATCTGCTCACTGGCCGTAACTGACCTCCTGGTGGCAGTGCTGGTCATGCCACTGAGCATCATGTACATTGTCATGGACAGCTGGAAGCTTGGGTACTTCATCTGTGAAGTGTGGCTAAGTGTGGATATGACTTGTTGCACCTGCTCCATCTTGCACCTCTGTGTGATTGCCCTGGACAGGTATTGGGCCATCACCAATGCTATTGAATATGCCAGGAAGAGGACAGCCAAGAGGGCTGGCCTGATGATCCTCACGGTCTGGACCATCTCCATCTTCATCTCCATGCCCCCTCTGTTCTGGAGAAGCCACCGCCGGCTCAGCCCACCCCCCAGTCAGTGCACCATTCAGCATGATCATGTCATCTACACCATCTACTCCACACTTGGAGCATTTTATATACCTTTGACTTTGATACTGATTCTCTATTACCGGATTTACCATGCGGCCAAGAGCCTTTACCAGAAAAGAGGGTCAAGCCGACACTTAAGCAACAGAAGCACAGACAGCCAAAATTCTTTTGCAAGTTGTAAACTTACACAGACTTTCTGCGTGTCTGACTTCTCCACCTCAGACCCTACCACGGAGTTCGAAAAGATCCACAGCTCTATCAGGATCCCTCCCTTCGACAATGATCTGGACCACCCAGGAGAACGGCAGCAGATTTCGAGTACCAGAGAGCGCAAGGCAGCACGCATCCTGGGATTGATTTTGGGTGCATTCATTTTGTCTTGGCTGCCATTTTTCATCAAAGAGTTGATTGTGGGTCTGAGCATCTATACTGTGTCCTCTGAAGTGGCTGATTTCTTGACATGGCTTGGTTATATTAATTCTCTAATCAATCCTCTACTTTACACAAGTTTTAACGAAGACTTTAAGCTGGCTTTTAAAAAGCTCATTAGATGCCGAGAGCATACTTAGATTGTAAAAAGCCAAAATACGTGACTTTTGCCAGAGCCTCATGAGTGGATGGGGGTAAGGGGTGCAACTTATTAATTCTTGAACATACTTGGTTCAGGAAAGTTTGTAAGTATGTGTGGTCTTGTTTTTTCTTTTTTGTTGTTGTTGTTGTTGTTCTGTTTTGTTTGTTATTCAGCGTGTTGTTTTCTACCTCCAGTCTTATCTGTGGTACGTAATTTCAAATAAACATTATCATACAAAAACAGAAATTTCATGGAGGTGATAATAAGATGAAACAGTAAATAAATTTTTGAGTTTTTAGCCATTTCAGTTAGCCTTGCGATTGGAGAATGTAAAAGAAGAAAAATCTTTATTTGCAACTTTTCTCATTATTTATAAATCAAATATCTGATAACTTGCCCTTATGTGGTGTTAAGTCCGAGGTTATAGCTTTATATGCATAAATTCTCTAGTGGGAATTGCATGACTACATAAAGAACAAAGAGAAAGTAGTATCCTATCATTTACTGCTTCCAGACCTGAGCTGGAAAAATCACTTATTGTAGCACTGTGACTACAAAGATTATTCCTTTCAGGCACAAACACCACTGGACTTTTGGTGCATGATTAAATGAAGTTTCTCCTTTCTTTCTTTCTTTCTTTCTTGCTTTCTTTCTTTTTTTGGAGAGGTTTTTACTATAGGGTACCTGCACTAGCCGGAAAGACAGAGAGAGACAGAAAGCAAGAAATCACCCCCCGGGAGGATGGCCACGCCACAATCCCTTCTCCTCCTTTCTCCTTTCGGGATCTTGGGCACGCACGCACACACGCCCGGCATGAGTTTAAGCCACCAGGTCTGGGACTCAAACCACGGTTGACTACATGGGAGTCCAGCGACATAGCCGTTATACTAAGTGCTGGTCCCAAAGTTCCTCATTTCTAAGAAAGAATCTGCAGTCAGCCCCATAGCCTTCTGGTTAAGAGAACCAGAGCCCACAGAGCCACCTGTGAGGTTTGCATCTTGGCTCTTGCAGTTTGAAAAACATGTTGGATATGTGTGCGTGTGTGTCCAAAATCCCAACGGGCTGGAGAAATAGAGGAGAAGGGATTGTGGTGTGTCCACATTCCATTAAGGATTATTTTCTCCCTCTCCTCTCTCTCTCTGCTGAGCACATGCACACTCTGACAATTAAATTTTTTAATTAAATTTTAAAATAGAAGAGAATCTGCAGTGAATGCACTGGCACTTTCCCACATCTTTTACTATGAATAAAACATGGAAATAAAATGATCCAGCAGTTGGCATAATGGCTATGTTGCTGGACTCCCATGGAGTCGACCGTGGTTAGAGTTGGACCCAGTGGCTTAAACTCAAGCCAGGCACGTGTGTGCGTGTGCGTGCATGCCCAAGATCCTGAGAGGAGAATGGAGGAGAAGGGATTGTGGCATGGCCATGCCCCCGGGGGGGGGTGATTTTCCACTTTTGGTCTTTCTGCTTTGTCTTGCCAGCGAGCACACATGCCCTATAGCAAAAACCTCTCAAAAAAAATAAATAAAATAAAGATCTAAGGATACTTCAATCAATGTGGTGCTGCATGATCTGATAGATACATTGGACCTCTTCTCATTCTAAAAAGTATTCCAGCTAAGCTTTCCCATGTACCCTCTCACTCTAGCAGGACTAAAGTGGAAACACATGATCAAATTTGGGGAACTGGTGGGGGGGGGCAGCTTAGTGATCTCTAGTGACCAAGTTAGGAAAGATAGTCTAAAATTTTTTAGGAGACTGCTATTCATTGAAATACCAGTTGTGCACTTGGAAAGAAATAAAAAGTTGAAAATCTATGTTTATAGCAAAGGCCAACCATCAGGAAATGAATATGAAATCATTTCTCCTGGAATCCCTGTGGCTTCCATGCCAGAACTGCATCCTGGGGCCAGGAGGCTACAAAGTGGGACCCAAGACCACATAGTGTGGCCTGACTCATCCACGCCTGAAGTGACTGCTCTAGTCACATGAAGGAGCTCACCACTACAAAGCCAAGAGTGAAGACAGAAAGAACTAAAAGTTTGTGAATTCTTGTATACGCCTAAGGAAGTGGCTGCTCTAAACCTCTGCTCCTTGTCCGTCAGTCAGTCTCTCCACATCTCCTCACTCTTCTTTGTTTACCGAGAAGGTATTGGTCTACCTCCTCTCTGCCTCCATGTTTTTAGCCCTTCAATATATCCCATGTCAACTTTTCTGAAATCTCATTTCTTTCTTCTGTCTCTCTCTTTTGTACTTCTTATTTAACCTCTTTTTCTTCCCAATCTGCTTTGATCTCAACAATTAATTAGCTCAAGTTTCTTGGACACTAAAATCAACTTCCTCCAGCTCTCCCTTCCTATCAAGTTTCTGCTCCTTCTCTCCACTAACTCTCCAATCATTAATCTGTTCATTCTTCCCTCACTTCTCACCTTCACTGACTTTTCTATCCTATGTCATTTGAGTATGCCTTCCCAGTTTTCCCAATTGCCACTGGTGGTTCGATAGTAGGTAATCCAGTGGCTTCTTTGGGTTCTTATCTAATTCTCACTCTCTCATCAATTAAAACAGCTAGCCATCCATTTCTTCTTCAATCTTTCCAGGATATTTTACTCTCCTGGTTCTTTAGCTACCTCCTATCTCCTCATTCTTTGTTTCCTTTTTTTCATCCTGGGACTTTGTTCGCAGTAATTACTTCCTGATCTCTATATTCCATCCCAACCTCTGTCATTTCAACAATTAGTTCCATGTCTGTGACTCTTAAATTTATGACTTTGGTTTTGATCTCTTTCTCAAACTTCAGATCTATGAATTATATTGACAAATATATCCCTGTGAATATTCCATTGGTACTTCAAATGCAGCCTTTCTAAACTGAATTCATCATTTTTCCATACTCGAGCCTCTCTCTCTGCCACCTTCTCAATCTCAAATAAGTTTACCATTCTTTTTTTATCCTATTCTTACCTGTCCTTACCATTCTTTTTTATTCCGATTAGATAAATATGACTCTCTCTCTCTCTCTCTCTGTTGCATGCCTCTCACATCCAAACTGTCTTAAAGTTACACATTTATCTCTACAAAAATATTTGTATATGGGGACCAGCAGCTAGTGTAATGGCTATGTCACTGGACTCCCATGTAGTCGACCATGGTTTGAGTCCCATACCCGGTGGCTTAAACTCACACCGGGTGCTTATGCATGTGTGCCCAAGATCCCAAGAGGAGAATGGAAGAGAAGGGATTGCGGTGTGGCCATCCCCCCAGCGGGTGATTTCTTGCTTTCTGTCTCTGTCTTTCTGGTGAGCGCACTCACCCTATAGGAAAAAAAAAAAAAAAAAGAAAAAAAAACTCTCAAAAAAAAAAAAAAAGAAATATTTGCATATGCCACCTTCTTTTCCAAAAATATGGTCCTCTCACCTGGAACAAATCTCATCGTATCCACCTGCTTCTGGATTCCTCCCACTCTGCCACCATATACCTGCCAGAAATATCTTCCTAGAATAGTGTAAAGTTCTCAGAATGACAACTCCAAACCAGAGTCATTAGCATCACCTGGGAACTTGTTACAAATGCAGTCTAGGGCCCCACTCAAGACCAACTGACTCAGAAATTCTGAAAGTGGAGTCCATTAATCCCTCTTTAACAAGCCCTCCAGGAGATTCTGATAACATGTGAACTATCGTAGCACATACCATTGATTTTTACTTATTTTTACTTGAGGTATTCAAAATCCTCTATTTCTCCATCAGTATAAAATAAACTAATATTCCTTAGTTTATCCTTTAAGGACCCTTCACTTTGTGGCCCCAAACTACCTTTCCAGAGTTATGTTTCACCACTTCTTCTCAGACTTCTCTTTCCTCAAAAGTCTGAATATTACCTGTGCTTTCTAAGTTCACCCTAACATTTGTTCCCACTGGTTTTCAGAACCTGATCCCAACAGCATCCCCTCTTTCTTCTACCAATCTTTCAATTTGCAGTTCAAATTCTATAAATTCTATCTTTGGTTTTTATCTGTTTTTTTTATGGAGGGGGGAGAAATTTTTGCTGTAGGGAGCATGCACTCACCAAAGAGACAGAGAGACAGAGAAGCAGAAAGTGAGAAATCATCTCCCAGGGGATGGACACTCCACAGTCCCTTCACCATTGTCCTCTTGGAATCTTGGGCATGCACACACATGCACCAGTGTAGTTTAGGACTCGAACCACGGTTGACTACATGGGAGTCCAGCAGCATAACGATTACGCCATCTGCTGGCCCCTCAAATTCCTTTTATAAAGCCTTCTTGAGCTTCTTCTTCCTTGCCTGTCCCTATAGAAGTCCCCTCTCCTAGTTTCAAGCTCCCTTAGAGCTTCACTCGTACCTATATTATGATATGATCCTGTCTTCTAGTGCATTTGTTTGCATATTTGTGCTTTCCTCCCTAGTAGATTGTAAGCTCCTCAAGAGCAGGGACTATGTCTGTTTCACCTCTGTATTTCTGGAAACTCCTAGAGTGGCCACTCAATAAATATCTGCTAATGTGATTGGAATTAAGCCCCTAGAAGAGAAAATGTGAATGTGACATCTTCTCTCAGTGAGAAAACCAAACTTTTTAAATGTCATGGTGCAACACTGACCTCCTTTTTTCCCAAAACTCACTGGCTTTCTTCCCAAAAATGTTGGGAAATATTTTTTCAAAGAGAAACAATACTTTCTTATTGAATGTAAGTGGATATCCCTTATTAGTTAGGATCCTAGCTAAGCTGTTCTAAAAAAGAGAATCCGTTTCAATCACAGTAGCTGTTAAAAGACAAATATTTCTTTCTCTCTTACTTGGTAGTTAAAAGGTAGAGGGGCAACCCAACTGCCCCACAGTGAGGTGGGGATTCAGGTTCCTTCCATCTTGTGGCTTGCCTTCCCCTCAAGGCTTTTGCTCATCTGCATGGCAGGAGAGAAAGACATGGAGAATGATCTCCATTTCAGGAAGTTTCATGGAAATCATACACATCACTTCTGTATATCTTCTATTTTCAATAACTGTCCATGGCCACACCAAGTT